AAAATCAAAATTATACTTTGAACAACAAACAGGCAAGTCACAATTAACTGATAATGATTGAGATTAGTCAAAAATTTATTTAATTCTAAAGAACAATTAAAAAACTGATAATTACATGAATAAAATTTAATTTTTCTATATTATTTTCAAAAAGGATTGTTTGTCTTTTATGAATGAATGCGAAACTTAATGACTCGTAGCCAATAAATTACTCATAATATGTTCACGTGACCATAAATGAGATGATCGATAATTCTTTATAGTGAACACTCACCAAAATTCTCGGTCCAGGGGGTTCGTTTGACTGTATTGTAACATGAAAATTATTGTTGCACTTCTGAGCATAACTTTCAAATTTAAAAAATCTATGAAAAGAAAATTTGAGACAGATTTTCTTTTTAGATTAATAGACTCCCTTTTTAAAGCTGAATTGAATGGCGGCGGGTTTTTTAAAATCCAATGTGTGGATCAATTTTAACTTTTGAGTATAGATGATCCGCACCGTACAAAATTGCTACTTTTGAAATTTGGCCATATGGCGCAGCAATAGGAATCTTTAGCCTAGTGCAAGACACAACTTTTTGCGTCACAACGACAGTTTTTGAGAAAAAATTTACAATCAAAAATGCAATAAAATTTTTATTGTCAAGTGTTTGTGAAGATTGTCAAGTGCGGGATAATATATACTTATATATAATTAAGATACTATAAGTATTAGCAATTATATTAGAAAAAAGAAATTTTGCTCTCGGATTTTTTCATAACTGTCATCACGTGATAAAAGATCAACCATACAAATTTCGATTCTTCATTTTTAATATAAAAAATTGCGTGCAACACTTTGGGTTTAACATGGTAAATTTGTTAAACTTGTTTCAACTTTGAGACTTAATTCTTCCACAACAACATGACGTATCAGACGTATCAGCAAAAATGAAGATGTAACTTTGTAAAGAAAGGTCTTAGCTTCAAAATTACGTCTTGTTTTTTTGGACATGCATTTCCATTTTTGGAAGAGCTAAGGATCTGCAAGTTGTAGGGACCAGGTGCCTTGCACTGTAACAGTGAGGAGGTAACTGTTTAATTTATGAAATTTTTTTATTTTATATTTTGTGTTAAGCAGAGTCTCTTCGTTCCTTAATATATTTTTTCCAGTTCATCGTTTCAGGTTGCCACTCTCCATTATAAATACAAAGTACCTTCATAAATTTATGATAATTAAGATCTGGTAATAGTTTAGGAGTTATTAAGAAATATCTGAAATAATAAGATATAAGTTTTAACAATTAAT